ATTGTTAAGCAAAGTAAACACACCACCTAACAGCTAATACAAAGAGCCAGAGGTCTAATGAAGATATGTAAGACATTAGACATACCATGATTGGTCTCCTCGGAGAATTAGTCTCGATTATTCAGCTCGTTGTTCAAAACCTGAAAAACCATACAAAAAAGGTACCATCAAGATGAATGCAAAGCCATCTATGATCTGCATTTGCAAACATCAATACCAAAACAAGAACAATGTATCTCATACATCACCAAACCGTTGAAATGATAACGGTAACCACAACCAATTCAATTTTTTTTCTTTGACACAAGCGATATTCTACGCTAATTCATCAAACCATGGAGATGGGGATTCAAACTTGGGTGCAGAGACATGGATTCAAAATTTCCTTATTAAAGATGCGAAGAAAGCATATTTATGATGAGATATCAAACATCTCGGAAAACAGAGACTAGCCCATTTGCAGTTTTCACACAATCATTCATTTCATACAAAAACAAACATAAAAAGTCCATATTTTCACATCAACCATGCAACTAAAATCACAGAACACACAAAACCCATCTGCAATCCGGCACAAAAAATCACATTCCGCGGCGGAAACAAAAAATCCAAAACTTGAACAAAGCATCAAAGATCGAACCTTATTCTTGTGTATCTTCCTATCCTCTTCTCAATCACGAGAGGAGAAAAGACCGCAAAATTGGTCAACCCTTACAAAAAGTGGCGATTTATTCGTCTTCGGTGGCTGTGTGAGGATGAGAAAGCGCGTTTGTTTTTGTTGCAAATTAAAAATAAATAAACAAAATAAAAGAAAAACATAAATCCAAAAAACCATCTTTTATGCCTTTTGGGTTTTGGTGGCGGGTCGGCTGCCTTTTTTTGGCTGGAAAGAGAGAGAGAGAGAGTTCAAGAGAGAGGAAAAATGGCGGGTCGTAACGGTCTTTTTTCTGGAAATACATTTATCCGCCTGGGATACTACGATTGAGTGACCTAACTGTGATTCTGGGTTTAACGACAAACACGCGCCAACAAACGAATTTACCTTCCGTTTTTAGTTCTCTTTTCTTAATTTTTGGCCTTGAATGTAATTTGTTATAATTGAGGGTTTTTTTTCTTTTTTTTAGCAAAGATAGGATATTTTATATCAAATTCATCTAAGTTGCGAGGACGAACACGAAATTTCGAGCGCATAAACGAAACTCGATTTAAATAGAATACAAGGAAGTGGACAACTTACCACCAAGGAAATAATTTTGACCCTCCAAAATCACTTCAAATAGCTTCACAAAGTGAAAATTGGAGTGTCAAAATCAACCCCTTATTTCATAAGCCTTAATTGATCAGGGAAATTGTAATTACTCGATATAAATTTAAATTACTATAGCTACTTAATCACTAGTTGACATTACTAAAATCCATTTTGGACTGATGGGGAAATTATAGGTCCGGAACCAGGTCATGGAAGCAGCAATCGTTGGTATGAACCCTATCAAGCTGCGGTTGTAGTGGACTGAGAAAGTGATATGGTAATTTTTTTATTTGAAAAAGGGACCAACTAGTGGCTTTGTCATGTCAATCTATCTTTTTAGGGTTTGGTGTAACATCCCACATCGCTCAGATGAGTGGATTCTGTAAGCCTTATATGTATATTATCATCTCTACCTAGCATGAGACATTTTGAGAGTTCATTGGCTTCGGGTTCTATCGAAACTCCGAAGTTAAGCAAGTTCACGCAAGAGCAATCCTATGATGAGTGACCTACTGAGAAGTTCTCAGGTGAGTTTCCAAAAACAAAACCGTGAGGGCGTGGTTGGGGCCAAAAGCAGACAATATCGTGCTAAAGCAGAGTCGAGCTCGGGATGTGGTGGGGGCCCGGGTCGGGATGTGACAATTTGGTATCAGAGCCAATCCCTAGCCGGATGTGTGCCAACGAAGACGTCGGGCCTCTAAGGGGGGTGGATTGTAACATCCCACATCGTCCAGAGGAGTGGATCATGTAAGCCTTATATGTATATTATCATCTCTACCTAGCACGAGGCTTTTTAGGAGTTCACTGGCTTCGGGTTCCATTGAAACTCCGAAATTAAGTGAGTTCGCGCGAGAGCAATCCCATGATGGGTGACCTACTAGGAAATTCTCGTGTGAATTCCATAAACAAATCTGTAAGGGCGTGGTCGGGGCCCAAAGCGGACAATATCGTGCTACGACAAAGTTGAGCCCGGGATGTGGTGGGGGCTCGGGCCGGGATGTGGTGGGGGCTCAGGCCGGGATGTGACAGTTGGAAAGACTCACAGATGCTCTCCCTGACCACTATCTTGCGATTCACCACACAAGATGAGATTGTACATTTCTCATATACGCAGCCGGTCTTATTTTAGACCATTTAATTAATTAGTCGTTAAGTAATTAAGATTCATGTTACATGATTTAGAAGTTCTACGTCAAATGCTTAGAGATATATATACATAGGTTTTCCGAAACCTAACATGTTGTGCAATGTCTTAAATTATAACTTGTATATATAATAATCACTAGTGAGTTGTCTGATAACCCCCAGGCCCCATGCCAGCTCCCCGTCTCTGAGCAGACAGTCAGAGGAAAATACACTTCAGGCCCCATGTCAGCTCCCCATCCATGTGCTAATAGCCAGAGGAAACACACTCTAGGCCTTATGCCAACACCAAACCGTCGCCCGGGATGGACCAGAATCTATCCCTACATCTCGTAGCGGAAAGGACCACTAGGTAAGTACAAAACCACTTAACATATATATATTGAAAAACAACTTCATAGTATAAACTCATCTATCATCTATACTATAAAGAGGCGTTCGAAACATGTTCTAAATATCATATCGTCATCCATCAAATATTCTATAAGAACATGGGTTATAGGAAAAATAGTAATAATTCAAACTAGCCTCAGTAAGCATGTTATCTCAAAGCGTCTCATAAAACATAATTGTTAAATCATGCTTTTCAAGTATGCATTTCTACTATCAAAACATGCATTTTAGAAGGGGTCAACTCACTGTACTTAGCCACCGAAGAGCCACGCAACTAGCGAAGACAGAAATGCCACTATAATTGCCCCTAAGCACATAAAGGGTCCAATTAATAAAACTATATAATAGCAATTGAATTTGGAAAAACGAACGTAAAAAACGGATTCAGGACGTCGAAATTAGCCTAGGAGAGGTTATGGGTTAAGGGTTTTGGACTTGGGTTAGGGTTTAGGGTTTTGAAAGCTTAAAAGGTTGGCTTAGGATGCACGGGCCTAATGCCCTAAAGGAAAATGGCCTAAAGGCCTTTAGTTTAGTAAATAAAAATAAAAACAACTTAAAGTAAAGGGTTTTTGGGTTTTAAGGAGGACGAGCCTAAGGCCCTGATTTAAAATGGCCCAAGGGCCTTTTACATTAAAACAATAAATAAAATAAATAATAAAAACTGAAATGGGTTTTGGGTTGGGCTCGGCAGGAAAGGCCCAAAGGCCTTGGGATTTCTAGGTTGCCGGATTCAAAGGAAGGAGAAGGCCAGATTTCGGCCGGAAAGCTACACCAACTTTAAATGGCCATAACTTTGTCAAAACTCAACGAAATCGAGTGATTCAAAAAGGAAAGTTGTAGTACTCAGCGAGACGAATAGATTGGTACCTTGCAAGCCGGCCAACTAGCCGTAGTTTGGCTGGAAATTGCATCGAAATTGGCGGTGCTCGTCGGAAAATATGGAGAATGCTCCCTGAGTAGTTTTCACGTTTAAACCTTCACCAAAAACCACTTTTTAGCAACCACTAAGCCTTCTAGACTACTAGGGAGGAAGATGGAAGAGTTGTTCAACTTACCTTCGTTGGAAAACACTTGCACAGTGATTGTGCATAGTGCCAAAGATAGACCGGAGATGTGAGGGAGAGAATGGAGGTCTAAGTGATGGTGATGGGTGGTGCGTTGTGGCCAGTTGGGTGTGAGGATGAGTGTGTGTGTGTGTGTCATCGGAGAGCCACAGTGGTGGGTGCGTGAGTGTGGTGCTCAGGTCGAAAGAGAGAGAGCAGAGAGAGTTGAGAGAAGAAATAGGGAAAGAAAAGGGTCACGGGGGACACACAAATAAAGGGGTGGGCCTCTTGGGCTCACCAATTAAGAATTAAAAACCATTTTAACATAAAATAGGGGTGGGGTTTAATACGAGAACACGGTTTGGTACACCAAATTTCATAATAGGAGTAGTTAGATGCTTGAAAAAACAAATTTGACAACTTATATTATGAGACTTGGTATATCAAGTTGGATTTTCGGCAAACTAAAAAATATCTTAGTGACATGTGGGGTATCCTAAAAACTGAACAATTGTAAAAGGTCTATCTCTCAACCTTTTTCTAAAATGCTACTAGACTTGGAAACCCTGCAGCTAGCTGTAACATATCGAACTTTTTCGTAACGAAAACTTAAACGTGGCTCATGCCCAGCGGGTGCCGCCCTGATATACACAAATAGAGATTGGCATAAAATCCGTGAAACTGGACTGAACCGTTCATACCAGTTTCGTTTTTGGTTTTCATGTTGGTAGAACTGCTCATAACCGAACCGTGAATATAAATAATTAATTGGATTTTGAAATGTTTGTGAAGTTCGACGGTTTGATCATGCTTCTCAATAAGAGTGCTTTTAGTCTTTCGTTTCTAGAATGTTAAATTAGTAAACCAAAATGGTGTTACTATTGTTCCTATTGTTATTTTGGAAGGTCGTGACAGTTCGTGCTGGCCTCAGAGAAATTTTGTGATGATAACACCGTCATATGATGTTACTATTGTTCTTATTGTCTTTTTCTTTACAGGATGCCGTCTCAAACGTCGAAGGAAATAAAAAATTCAACTAAGGTAGACATAGATTAGATGGCATTTGTGATAGGATGCTAACTTTCAACATACAATATTGCAGAATTTTGGACTTGATCAAGAGCTCTTGTTCTGTTCTTTACTAAGTTGATTTGATTCTTTTTGGACAGAGCTTATAAAGGAGGTAAATGATATATTTTTTAGCTTCGTAGTTAAATTTAAACACAGGAGGAGGTATTATTCTCTGGATGGATATATACACAGCATGGCATGTGCAGGAAGCTAAAATGACATTCTCTCCTTGGAATCAAATTATTCCGATATTTTGAAATGAGAAATCTGGATGTTTTCGGTGTTAAGCTTCTTGAAGTTACTGAGCTTTCTGTGAGTAATAAACTTTCCCCAGCAGTAGGGCTTGTACTTAGCAGGGTTTTGTTCATTGATCAGCTCCTCCAATGGCTTGACTTGTGTGTAGTGAGCTGGGTTGAGGAAGTAGGGAATGGAAAACCTTTCCTTCTCCGAATTCACCATCGCCCTGTGCTCCACGCTTTCGTATCTCTCGTTGCTCCAAACCTGCATAAACATATCCATTTGTTATATATGCGAATGAAGCTGAATGCGAGGACTTAGGAAGTTCGAAGATTGGTACCTGAATAACGTCACCGACATTGATGATAAAGGCGTTTGGGGTAGGTTTAACCCGTATCCACACTCCGTCTGTTTTTCTCTTCACTTCCAGCCCTCCAACATCATCCTGAGCCAGCACTGTCAAAGCACCGCCATCCTTGTGCCGGCCAACGCCGAGAGCTAACTGAGGTGAAGGGCAAGGCGGATAGTGGTTGAGTCTGAGAAAACTGGTTTGGTTTTTGAAGTAGCTGTTGAACCTGTCTTTCGGCAAGCCTAGGCCCAAGGCAATTAATCCCATCAACTTTAGAGCTAGATTTTCGACTTCTCGAGCATATTCTTCACAAGCATTCCTGGTCAAGGAATTCGGTCTAACTCTTAGATTGATACAATTTCGATTACAAGTACATGTTTATATAATTACCAATTGCAAATTAAAGTGTTATGTATTCAGTATTTTCTTAGTGATCATTGAGTTACCTTAGTTCAGGAGGATACTCCGGCCATTGGTTATACCACTCCGTCTCTTCCGTGTCCTCCGGGTCAGGCGAAGCCGGGACTAACGTAGGCTCTTCCACAGTGAAATCAAACACCTCCTTCCAGTCCCTGACATTCTTGGTATGCTCGGTATCATAATAACCCAACACATTCCCTTCATCCCTTCTAATCTTCCTCTTCTCCTCCAAAGGCAGCGCAAAGAACTTCCGAGCAGCAGCTTCGATCCTTTGGCGCTTCTCCAACAGAACCCCGTGGTTGATCACTTGGAAGAAACCCCAGTCCTTGCATGCATTGCCTATTTCTGCAACAAGCCCTTCAAAGACTCTGGGGTCGGTAACGGAGTGTGGAGAGTTTATCAGAGAGAGGTCGATCAACGGTATGCCTTCGACTTCGGTGGCGGAGAGTTTTGGCCTGTGCTCGGGGTCTTGGATGAAAGCTGGATCAACCTCTCCCATGGCTGCTGATTGTGATTTTAGAAGGTTGCTAGTGGACGGGGTTTTGTAATGGTTTTATGGTGGGAGTTGCTGAAGTTTCACATACTGAATCTGGACGGGTTTTTGTTAATTAGGAGGATAGAGTTTCTCGGTTTCTTTTGGACGGTTGCGTGAGTCATCTTTTTCTTTACTATGATGTCATTGCAAACGTAGAGCCACATAACTGGAAGAGACTGATCAGTGTCTTTCGCTTTGCATTGAGTTCAAATCCAATTTCCCAACTATGTATTAGGGTAGTTTAGAATATTGTTTTTTGTCGCAAAAAAGAAATAATACTATGTTGCATGAATCTTACATTTATAAAATGAGTGATATTGTATGTGTTTATAAATAATTGAGCTACTTCTTATATTACCATTGATTTTATGATCGAACCTCAACTTCTTCATGGTATAAGAACAGGTTGTCCCACGTGTTAAGTCTAATGGCTGGCTATACGAGCTCTATGTTCCCTGAGTTGTGTTGTCCATGTTTTAGGCTTAAAAATAACCATACGTGAGAAAGACGTGTTGAAAATGAATCTCATATTGATGGGATGATGGACCTTACGTGCTTATAAATAGTTGGACCACTTCCCATTTTAACAATTAGTTTTACGATGGAATCTCAACTTCTTAATACTAAAAGACTTTTACTTAACCAAGAGGTTGTCTTTGTGTTGTTTTGTATTGCTCGTTGACGGATTTGACTTCAATAGAGAGATTGGAGAGAATTGTAATGGGAGAGGAAGGAAAAAAAAGGTGAAGCGGAAAGAGGTTTATATTTATATTTTATATTTTTTTAATGATAAGTGAGGGAATAAAATTAAAAGTAAAATTTGGTTGCACGAAATAACATTATTGTCCAATGTTTGTACCATATTTTATTAATCTCGAAATACTGAGCATTGGTCATCTTGATACCTTCGGGTACCAAGAGATGGGTGAACCGAGCTGATGAGAATTTAATAAGCAGGAGATGGGTGAACCACGAGAAGAAAAGTATGCTACTTTTTACTAAAATTAGAAGGAATTTAAAAATATCTCAGCATCACACTGCCTGGAAGTACAACTCTTAAGGAGAAAGTGAGAATTAAGGAGGTATTCTCCAGATTTTTCTGAAAAGATCCTTTTACAAATTTTCACCCAATATCTCCTATGTATGATTATAGGTTAAACTAGAAATTAGGCCCGTGGCAACCAGCTATTTCAGGTGTAATCGGATGAATAAAACACAATTAAGTTGAATAAATTCAACACAATTATGAACAAACACAAGGATACATGAGTGAACGAGGTCAATAAGTTAAGCAGTTTTGCTTTTATATACATTCAAGTGAGTTGGCATATAGATACATTGTACAATGAGTGGGAAGAAACTAAATGTCTTTGATTATAAAGAGATGGTTTCCAAAAAAGTTCTGTTTCCTTAAGAAACAGAAGAAATATTTAGTTCACACATATAATATGTGTCATGCAGTGTAGGCAACCATTTCAACAGGTAATTAAAAATAGAAAGTGTTGAGGACTTGTTCAAGTAGCTAATTTTGTAACCACAACTGTTCAAAGGCAAAAATAAGCAGAAGGTTTGTTTTCATACGAAACTGAAGAAACAGAAGCAAGCTGCAGTTTACACGTATTTCCCCTGCAGGTAAGATGGCAAAATATATGTCTTGCAGCCTACATACCTCAATTGTGCAACATATGCCTTACACTTGAAAAATATCAAAAATCGAGTACAAATTTGTAAATCATACGAATTCTCTCATATGCTTTGTAAATCTACCAAGATTGGTAATAACATGCTACTCAGCAGAACATTCATTATTCACCCATTAGTATTTAGCATCTACACTGAGTCACTAACATACATTGCTAAGTTAGGACTCTGTTATACTCATCATCCATGATCAATGTAAACATATTTTTCATAGCTACACTCCCCATTGACATACACTGACATAGCATCTACTTTTTTGCTGACCTTATTTGCTCAGTTAAGCAATAACCAACATACACAATCTAACAATCATAGCAGCTACACCAATCATCCATCAATGGGCAGAAATACAAATACTATTATATTGGGGTACCAATCATCCAATTCGAATGTCGTTTGGAACAAATACACCAACCATTCAATTGGAATGGGGTTTGGTACAAATACATTTTTCCATTAACTGGATATTCAATTAACTGTGATTAAAAAAACATTACCAAACAAAAGCTAATTTTCTAAAGAAAATAAGTGTTTTATACCTGCCAATTCCATAGGCCTGTATGAGCCCAAAATTGAGGGATGGTGACATCTCCAATTTCGAGTTGGGGATCTGCATTTCCTGCAATTCCATAGTGTACAACACCTTTCACCTTGAATAGGGTTTGTAGTATTTGAGTTGAGATGCCTGTATTGAGCTTTTCACAGGCTTCTACATCAATTTTTTTCCAGCAGGTTTCTACAGAAAATACTTCAATAATATTGAATGATACGGGAAATAAACAGTTCAGATTTACACTAAAAGATTTAAAAATTGTGAAAGTCGAATCTAACGGATAATACACTTGTAGTATTGAAGCCGGACACTGTTTCTACATCATTTATTAAATACATTATCTATAATGCACTGACCAAAGAAATTAATCAAAGTAAAACAGATGGTCAATTGCATAATTAAACATACCATGCTCAATCCAGTCCTAACAATTATAACCTTTTTGTCTTCCAATCGTCCGATTCGAAACCTTCTTCTTGTCAAATTGAGTATGTAGAATTCGGTCCAAAGTTATTTTTCATTCAATTACAATATTCTATGTATTTATAAATTTCAGAGCAGAACGTGCAAAGGCAAGAAAAGCAACAACAACATAACTCATATATACCATGAGCTATAAATTTTAGCAAATGATACTGATTTCCGCATACTCATTATTCTCCATATACACTTGTGTTTATTTTGGTCATTTGAATTGACTAAAAAAATAAAAAAAATTAAAGGACAAAAATTCAACAAAGGTGCAGAATAAGAAAATAGTGTGAGAAATCAGTTTCTTTTAGGAAATATATGTACATAGCACTCAAAGATAATTATATAAACTTAATGAATATATATATATATATATAATTTTATGCTTACCAGCAAAATCCAAATACGGTAGCTTCTGATCAGCCACAAAGCTTGTAGACTGAAGTTCTAACCAGAGAAATCTTTGAAAAAGGCAGATCAGATTGATGAGGAAATAAAAACTTTATGTTCAAATGCGAAAAGCAATTCAAAAAACGAAAAAACTTGAGAACTAATCGAAACCCAATAGAGAAAAACGAAAATCCAGAGAAACCCACTAACATGTTGGAAGAGTGATAGCCATGCTAACCTTCCCCATTTTGACAGGAAGAATAGCAGAGTGTGACATAACCATTCGAAAAACTGTAGTAGCAGGTTTCCAAATCATTGAAGATAATAAATGAATAGCTAGAGACATTGAGAATAGTTTTCTTCATTACTTAAACAATAGACTGAAGTTCTAACCAGAGAAATCTTTGAAAAAGGCAGATCAGATTGATGAGGAAATAAAAACTTTATGTTCAAATGCGAAAAGCAATTCAAAAAAACGAAAAAACTTGAGAACTAATCGAAACCCAATAGAGAAAAACGAAAATCCAGAGAAACCCACTAACATGTTGGAAGAGTGATAGCCATGCTAACCTTCCCCATTTTGACAGGAAGAATAGCAGAGTGTGACATAACCATTCGAAAAACTGTAGTAGCAGGTTTCCAAATCATTGAAGATAATAAATGAAGGGGTTTCTCCATTTTAATCCTTGATAACGATTGAAATTCAATTAAAACCTTATGTTAGATTATATATTCATTATAGTCCTTTGACTAAATTTCCATGTCAGCATAAATATTAAAATTTATATTTTCTTGTTTTGAAATATTTAATGCGTTTTTTGGGTTCCTATAATGCCCCTATTAAATATTTGATTTTAATTTGCTCCATATTTTTTGGCATTGATTATTGTTTGACTTTCTAAAATGATAAACATAATTCAAAAAAATATTAGTGATACGTTACAAGAATTAACAAATACCTAATTCAAATGATTCATTATCACCATTCAAAGCATAGAGGAAATATAAATAGCCAAATCATATATTTTACATAATCGAATGCACTTAAACCATGTCCTAATGTGCTTAAATTATATAACCTAGTCGAATGCACATAAATCATAGTACCAAGTCAAATGCACCTAAACCATGGTACTTATATGAATGCACCTAAACCATGGTACCTATATGAATGCACCTAAATCATGGTACCTATATGAATGCACCTAAATCATAGTACCTATATGAATGTACCTTAATCATTTAGGTACTATCAATTAGGTCTTATCCATTCGGTATGGTCGGTTAGGTACTATATAGTGTATGTCCGATTAATTTGGTACGGTCAATTAAGTTGTGATTTCACATTCTATTTTCTCAATTTGTATTTTTTTTTTCATTTATCTCTGGATTCACCTTCAATTTGGCATCTAAAAGCCCTTTTTTTCTCCTTTCTTCCGAATACAACAAGATTTTTTGTTTGTAAGTTTTATGGGCTTTTTTGTTTGATCATGGTTTCTGAGTTTTCTGGGTTCTTTGATTGGAATAACACATGGAGATTTATGTTATAACACACATGTTAATTATGGATCTAGTTAATTAAGCATTCTTGAAAAATTAATTATATATTTGTTTCTCTAATTGGTTTTAAAGAGTAATAAGGGTAAATAGGGAAACTAAAAATGCAATAAATTTATTAAAAAATGATTAAATGTGACATGGAATACTATAATCTGACATGGAGGACTATTTTTAGTTTTTAATCTTACATACGGTATTATTGAAAAAGCAATCTTATTTAGGGATTAAAATGAAGTTTTCTAATAAATGAATAGCTAGAGACATTGAGAATAGTTTTCTTCATTACTTAAACAATAGAATGTGTACAGGGCATAAGTGAGGTTTGCTAATATAAATATCCTCATTATAAATATCGCTAAAGCGTGCATATACATTGAGGTTTGCCAATATTTCCAGCTATTTCCAAGTGTGTGCTGGTGTGTTTTTTTTCCTTTCAAATATGCAGTTTTTTCATTCTAGTATAGATGTTAATATTTCTACTGCTCAAGTGCCATTTTATGTCTTCACTTGGAAAAAGAACTAAGCCTTTTAAAGTGGCCATGGTGGAAAGCAGTTGGACACCATTGTATAATTTCTTGACTCACTCCAAATTTTGTACCTAAAATTTCCACTTGATTATGTTTTATCCTCTACCTATTCTCTTTCTTGATTTGACTTTGCCTAACCAAAGTCTTTTCCCGTTTAAGGACGCGCGCCCTATGTTATTTCCTTCTCCACTGCATTCTCATCTTGCTAAAATTTATAACATCAAACCACCAGAATCTCAACCCATAATTAGTTTTACCCGCCCACAATAAATCATAATCCTCAAGCCAACTTACATTTGATTCAGGAAGTAAAGTGACTTGTGCAAATACTTCATCATTGTCTGGTTCAGCCTATAATTCAGCAGAAAGAAACATATTATTCCCTCGCAAAGCCCAATAACTTGAGTACCAAAGAAGTAGCTAAACAATTAAATCCAGAATTCTTAAGGCCTCGTTTGGGATTGAGATGATTTTAAAAAAAGTCACTGTGAAAAAAAGCTGAGGGTCATTTTTGTGTTTGGTAAACTGAAAAAAAATGGCTTATTTTGGAAGCTGCTGTGAGAATAAGCTGAAAATCAAAGGAAAAGCTGAAGTTGCTATTTGCTGCTTTGAAAAAAAGCCAGTTTTTTCAAAGCACACGGAGCTACAGTGCTCATTTAATGAAAAGACACACTATCATCCTGCTTTCACAAAAAAGTTTATCAAACACTCTACTGGCTTTATTTCACAGCCGCTTATTCTCACAGCACATCCGGTTATTCTCACAGCAGCTTTTTTTCAAAGCACAGCAATACCAAACCAGCCCAGTTTTCTTTATAAGACCAGCCACCACACTACCTTCAATGATACATTGATAACCTGACAAAGAATCTTCGATGCAAGATTATACACTGGCATCTGCTGATCAACTAGCTGATTAGTCGATGCCTCCACCTATTTTTGAAACCAGAAAATCCAATTGACAATTAGTGATAAAACCCAGAAAAACATAATATGCATCATCTACAAAAATCCAAATAAATAAATAAAACACTCAAATTTCTATGTAAAAGCGAACATATTTTGACCCCAAAACAAAGATGTCATAGATGGAGGAAGAGAGAAGCGACAGAAAGGGAGCGATACTAACTCAACCCCACCATCTCTCTGCAGCCAACACACTAATTCCCTCAACCCTACCCTCAAATCTTGTTCACAATCAACTATCTTTCTGTCCCCCTAATCGTGCACCCGCCGTCACCTTCTCTCTGCAACCAACCCCCTCTCCTCTCTCCCCTATATCACACCCCCACCCTGTGAAGGCACTGACACCAGACCACCTCCCTAGAAACCGGCTCTAAAAACCCATACCCATACCTCCATTACCCGATCCCTTTCTCAAAGCAAAAAGTGTTTAAATTGACTTTATATATAAATTATACCTTTTTATATTTAAATAATAATGTAAATTGTATAATTACAGTTATAGTCCATGAATACAATTAGAGGCCTTTAAATAACAACCAACCAAATCCAAATATCGAAATTTGCACAGAAACCCCATTTTCCAAATCCGAATTTACAGTTCTAAACACAAAATTTTTTTTACAGAAAAACCATAGATTGGCAAGAATTCAACAAAGAAAATAGAGACCCAGTTAATTATCACCTTAGAATTGGAGACATTGCTCTTTGGCCATCCAAACCCGAATCCTCCACCGCCATTGCTCGACAGCAAATCATAAATCTCCAAAACAATGACCTGCACAAACGACCCAACCGTCGTGCCACCATCGTCTTCTCCATCCTCAAGAATATTTTTCAGCGACCTGTAACAGAAACGAAGGGAAGGTTTGTGTGGTTTTGGGAAGCAAGAGCCGATGTTATTGAAGAAGTGGGCTCAGTTTTGGGGTTCTGGCTGCTAGGGTTTGAGAAAGGGGAAAATGAAGGCCAAATGGGTGTGTTTCTGTCTCTCTCCCCCATCCCTCTCAATCTCTCAATCAGCGACACCAACCCTTGATTTGAGGAGAAAAAATCAACCCTAACCCCACTTTTTGGCAACCTCACTCCTCTCTCCCTTCCCCTCCCTGCCATCCCACGCCTCTCTCCCTGAAATCCCTCCACAAATCCGTGAGTTCTGTCTGAAGCACAGCCACACACAATGGTAGAAATGTAAATAATGCAAATCTGGTCAGAGTCAAAATTATCCTCCCAACCAGCGCCATTTGGCTGGTATTGTGGTAAATAGCGTGAAATCGAGTGGCAACCAATTGACTGTAGTTAAGCTACAGTCAATTCATTCCTCAATTTTAGAATAGACCAGAAATTACGTCCGCGCGTTGCTGCGGGAATCAACTGTTTCAGACGTAATTGAATGAATAAAACACATTTAAGTTGAATAAATTCAACTCAATTATGAACAAACAGAGCGATACATAAGCGAATGAGGTCGATAAGATTAACAGTTTTGCTTTTATATACATTCAAGTGAGCTAGCATATAAACACATTGTACAATGAAACATCCACACTGGAATAGGGGATCCTTCAATGTTATGAAACATCTACACTGATCTTAAAACTACAAATGTAAGCACCGAACTCTGTAAAGGAATCATCTCTGATATAACATTTGCATATTTGCCTTCTCTCATCCCTTTCACATGTATACTAAACCATTTGTGTGCACTACAAATTTGAGAAAGAATGAAGTCGGCCTCTGCCATGCAAATGGTTTGTTCCACTTCTTTTCTCCAGTTCCCAAAACTATAGATACGACCGTAATAAAACATACATGGCCCTCACACAGTGCAGCCCCCTAGCAATCTAACAAAGAGAGATTTATGTCAAAAGAGAAAAAGAAAAAGAGCTTTAATGCCAGTTGTTTGGTGTGGTTTTCGTTTTCTCTTCTTCTTTTACGGAGTAAGCATACACCTATCCATCCATCTTCCCTTTTATGTATAAATCTATATACACACACATATATTCACACGCACATGTATATACACACATATTTAAATATATACACTGAGAACATTGAGTTCAATCCAAATCTATAGTCCTAACAATGTACGTAACACATCAGAAACGTAAATCCAATGTACCTCCAACAAAGATTTGAACCATCTTTCATGAGTCAACATCACTTTCCTTTGCCTTTTTTCACTTTCTAATCTCTGCAGATCCTAACTTTTATCTGGAAACATGTAAAAACTACAAAATCACAACTTGCTTATACTCAATCAACGTTTTGCTCTGAAATCTCTATTTTAGACTTAGTATCCAAAAACAAAGTCTTATATGCAAAAGATAACTCATTCATCATAAAGCAACGATACATTTGCAGTAATTGTTTAAGTCAGAACATATTGATCATCATGAATTGCAGCATTAGCATTCTAATTAGAAACATGTAGCCATCAAATTTAACATTTCACTACCACGTTTGATCGCATTAAACAATCCAATTATCGATAAGCAGAAGCTTGAATTTCTCTGGCAGTCACATCCAAAGCAAGTGCATAACCTTAAACCCTCCGATTTGTAATCGTATACCTAAAAATAGCAAGGAACCGGCTTCTTCCTCCCACAACCAAAGTTCCAAAAATTTCCAAAGAAAGTAAATCCGTTTGCAATTCAGAGAAATTGGAGGACCAAATCGTATTAAATTTGAATTAAATGAGCAAAGGGACACCAATTAAATGAGATACTAAACACATTTCGAATCTATGAAATAGAAGAACAATCATGTAAAGACTCCCAAGATTGTGTGCTAAGCGCAAAATTATAGGTTAATAAAGGTAAATCCCAATCCAAAGCAATCTTTTAACCCAAAATGAAAACAAAAAGCATGGAACAAATATTTCAGTTTTATTATTAGATTTCTAAATCCTCAATTTGAATGCGTTGTAAAGATAATACCACCAACTAAGGGTGGCAATCTGACCATGGTTGTGTATGTTAAGTCAACTCTATGCAACTGAATATATAAAATTTAAGCAGCCCCAAACAGTATCCTAAGCATCTACAAACTATTAACATTATTTCCCCAATTTTATTTCTCAATTTTATCAAATGTTGCATAAACGATCACAATTTACTCCCTTCCAATTCCCACATAACTCCGAACAAACAATATTGATAAATCTTTATCATCACCTTTAACAAAATAGGTTACAGCGAAAAGAAAAAAAAAGTTCCTATGCAAACAAATTTAAGCAGTTAGTCTCCTAAGCACAAAATTATAGTTGAATAAAGAAAAATCCTGACCAAAGCTCCAACTTTTAAACCCAAAATGAAAACAAAAAGCATGGAACATATAATTCAGTTTTGTTACTAGATTCTCTAAATCCCCAATTTAAATCCATTGTAAAGATAATACCACCGACTAAGGGTGACAATCACAAAAATGGAATCCAAGTAAAATCAAAATACATTAAGAATCCTCAATAGTTAAACTGCAAGCTAAATTGATTAAGTGCTCCGAAGATAAATGCACAAATTTCCATACAAAGCAAAGAAATTGAAACTGTGTCATGAAAACTAATTAAAGTTCGACCTAGTTTGGGAGTGAGGTGCTTAAAAAAAAAACACCCATGAAAAAAAGCTGTGAGAGTTTTAGGTGTTTGGTAAACTGAAAAAAAAGGGCTTATTTTGGAAGCTGCTGTGAGAATAAGCTGAAATCAAAGGAAAAAGCTGAAGCTGCTATTTGCAGCTTTGGAAAATTGGTTTTTTCAAAGCACACGGAGCTACAGTGCTTCTTTAATGAAAAGACCCACTATTAGACTGCTTTTTTTTTTTCAAAAGCACTTTTACAAAAAAGTTTACCAAACACTCTGCTGATTTATTTCATAGCCGCTTATTTTCACAGCACAGCCGCTTATTCTCACAACAGTTTTTTTTCAAAGCACAGCAATACCAAACCAGCCCTTCATATAATGTGATTGTATCATTAGCTAAGAGGCCACATAGAATGTCGGTACTGCATGGCACAAAAGCAGTGTAAAATCTACATGTATAGGCAATATCATCACTCTTGAGAATTCGAAATGAACAAACACTGCACACACTCACACACACCAGAATTCATATTATGATCCAGAAGCTTTCAAACTATGCATCAAAAGCAAAAGCAAGATATAAGAAATGAAAATGAAAAAACAAAATGAAAGCAAAAGCAGAATGAAAGCTAACATGTCTTGGCCAACATATTTATAAGATATGGATACCAATCCACTGGACTCCAAACACCAAATAGTGACGAATTTAGCTAAAGAATGTTAGCCACAAAAATCCTATTAATGAATCTCAAAATTTACCCTAACCATTAAAATAGTAATGAAGCTCAGAATATTCCCTAAACACCGAAACCCATAGTACATGCCGTCTACCCAACAAAGATATATTAAAAACAACTGCAGAAGCAATAAGGACTTTGTAAACTGCAACGATTAAAAGGGCCGGAAAAACACCAATCTAGATTAACAAAAGAAAGTGCACATTAAAGAGCACCAAAATGGCACACTTTCAAGGCTGTCACACAAATTTCAGTTCAAGGGTTTGAACACATTGATCTCACTGCAAACATACAAAGGACAGAAGAAAAAATGCAGAACGAAAAACTTTTAGAAATACAAACTTAAAATATTACCCATCATGCTAGCCGCTTCTTCTAACACAATTACTTTCACCTTTCTAATATCACAGTATTTTTTTTATTTCTGCAATCAATACCGTCCAATCTTTGAATTTTTCATTAAATTGGATGGTAGTGTAGAGCCTAAAAAATGTTAGGCAGGCTGCTACAAAGATAGTATAGCCCAACAGCTCCGTCTAACCCGCCAATCGTTAAATGTTAAATTTCTTGAACCACACAACCTATTACAAATACCCGAACAGTTAGAGAACATTGGACATTCGTTGTACTCAATCTGCATATATCCCAGGACCAAGAAAGTTATGAAGAAACAAAAATGAAACTGTACAGCAGGTATACAGTAGGGAACAACCACTATGAAACTGGCACTCAAGTACTGTAAGGAAAATCAGATTAGCATTCATCTAACCAGAGCTTCTAGCTGCTAACAATTAGTTGTTAAAACCCTAACACTAATCAAGCCATCCTGCACATATATCTAGCTTTCTTCGCATCCCGCCAGTAATAAAATGCATTCAAGCGTGTAGTGCAGCTTGCACAAATAAAGCAAGTATGATAAACAGAAAAAGGAAATGGAAACATGAGTTTAGTAAAAATGGGAATAAATCAAATAAAGCCGAAAAAGAAAAACCGGTACAATAGCTGCATAAATTAAATAGCTTTCTACAACATACAAAAGAGATTGAGAAATCTAATTCAGCAATTCCTTTTCCTAATTAGGTCCGGTATTAATTTAGCCAAAACCTCAGTAAATCCTTTAAAAAATAAAACTCACAGCCCCTGTTTGGTTGCAGAGAAAAAGAAATATGGAAGAAACAAAGACAATATATTTCCATTAAATTACTCAGTTAAATCAAATAACAGGTCATTTCCATGAAATGAAAAACAAATCATTCAGAATTAAAACCCTAAACCTCCACTGAACCCAACACACAACCCAAGGAATCTACGCAGATTCAAGTTTCCATATTCACAGATAACTATATTTCCTGTCAACTAAAAGCAGCCATGAGTATTGGATGGCTAGTGAAGTTAGACTAGTCAACTTTCTTTATGTAAATTAGGCAAGTTAGGTAAGTTAGGCAAGTTAGGCAAGTTAGGTAAGTTAGGCAAGTTAGGAAAAGTTAGGTCTTATGTCTTCCTTCTTTCCCTATATATATGTTCATCTTGTAATGAGAAATAATCATCTAATATATCAAGGAATTAACTCTATTGGCATGGTATCAGAGCAATTCTGATCCAAAAAGAGTTTCTATTCTGATTCACTTACTGGCACTACTGCCATCTACCCAATAAGACCTTCTACTTTCATACCAATCCAATCTTACTATTTTTTCATTTGGCCATATCTGCCAACATTATTACCCATATCCAGCTTGTTAACCATACATATTCCGCTGCATCTTTTCCCATATTCTTCCCATTTGCAGTATCTCTGCAAAACCCAGAAATCTTTCCACATAAAAAAAAAATATACTACCCAATACCCCATAAGCCATACCCGTTGGAATCACCCAACAAATTTACCCATAACCTCTGAGGCAGTAATAATGGGTGACTCCAAGACCACTGTTTCAGCTACTGTTACTCAAAGTGATATGTCTCTACATATCACCCCAGACAAGTTGGATGGGTCCAACTATTCCTCATGGTCCCAAAGTGTCCGCATCTACATCACTGGCAGAGGTAAATGGTCTTATGTCAGTGGAAAAAAAATGGCACCAGCAGAAGCTGATGCATTGTATGCTATATGGGAGGAAGAGAATGCCATGGTTCAATCTTGGTTACTCAACTCCATGACCAGAGATGTGCGGGCCATTTTTCTCCAACTCTCTACTGCAAAAGATGTTTGGGATGCTGTTACCCAAACTTACTCAATTGAAAAAGATGCATCAAAGTTATACGAACTTCGCCGTCAAGCACTGGCGACTCGCCAGAATGGAGAACCTTTATCTGCATATTATGGTAAACTTCAACAAACATGGCAAGAAATTGATTTCTTGCGTCCTGGAAAATTGAAGTACGCTGATGATATTGCTACCCGAGAGACAGAAATTTCGGAAGAAAGATTGTATGATTTTCTGGCTGGTCTTGATCCCCATTTAGATCATGTTCGCAGTCAAGTTTTGACTCAAACAACTCTGCCTTCTGTTCGTGCTGCTTATGCTCTTGTGAATGCTGAAGCAAGTAGGCAAACCATTATGTTGGTTGGCTCACAAGTGGAAGGATCCGCCATGGTAGCTGCTCCGTCTCGATTTCCCCGTGGAGTCTCAAATTCTCGATTATGTGGATCCAAAACTACTGATACAAGGAAGTGTACTTATTGTGACAAGGATAAGCATACTAGAGACACTTGCTTCAAGCTGTATGGATATCCTGATTGGTGGGTTCAAAAGAAGGAAAATAAAAAAAAAGGCATTGGTGGATCACACGCACACCTGACACCAACGCCTTCCATACCTCGGGAGGATCAATCTGCTCACTTAGTTTCTCCTACTACTGCTTCTACTTCCTTAGTCGATGCAGGTAACTTTGGTTTTGCCTTGAACACTACAATTGTTCCTCCCAATAAACCTTGGATCATTGATTCAGGGGCTTCTGACCACATGACCAATAACTCTACATGGTTTGTTTCTCACACTACTCTACCTTTAAATACCATTAAAGTTGCTAATGGTATTTCTACTCCAGTGTTTGGAGCAGGCTTCATCTTATTAACACCAGGCTTATCTCTCTCATCTGTTTTACATGTTCCTAATCTTTCTCACAATTTGCTTTCCATTGGTAAACTTACAAATCAACTAAACTGTCTTGTCATCTTTTCTCCTACCCATTGTTGGTTTCAGGATATTCGAAAGAAAGCATTGATTGGTCATGGTAGAGAGAGGGGAGGTCTATACTACTTGGACTTACCACCAGATTGTGAGAAGACAAGTTACAGTTGTCAAGTGGAGGCCAAACAATTTGAAGCTTCTGAAAAAATTTGGTTATGGCACAAAAGATTGGGACACCCTTCCTTTCAGTACCTGCAATATCTATTCCCTTCTTTATTTTCTAAAGTCAAGGTTTCTGATTTCCATTGTGAAACTTGCATTCTTTCTAAAAATCATCGTGTCTCATTTCCTTTAAGTTCCCATAAAAGTAATGTTCATTTCTCTCTTATTCATTCTGATGTTTGGGGACCATTTCATATTCCTACTTATACTAGTGCTAAATACTTTGTCTATTTCATTGATGACTGCACTCGAGTTTCTTGGGTATACTTACTCAAAAATAAGAGTGAGGTTATGTCTATTTTTCCAATCTTTCATCAAATGATTCAAACCCAATTTCATGCTAAAATTCAAGTTGTTCGATCTGATAATGGGAAAGAATATTTGAATTATGGACTTGGAGCATTTTTTCAACAACACGGTATCATTCATCAAACATCTTGTCCACATACTCCTCAACAGAACGGTATAGCAGAACGTAAAAATCGTCATCTCTTGGATGTGGCTCGCTCTTTATGTTCTGCTATGCACGTTCCTAAACATTTTTGGGGTGATGCCATTCACACAGCTGTTTTTCTTATCAATCGCATGCCATCACGTGTTCTCCAATTTCAAACACCTATCCAGACCCTTTCCCAATATCATTCTCTTCCTTCACTCCTTCATATTCCTCCAAAAGTGTTTGGTTGTGTCTGCTACGTTCATGTCCCCATGCAAAATCGTGATAAGTTGGATCCTAGAGCCATCAAATGTGTGTTTATTGGCTATTCTGCTACTTAGAAAGGGTATCAATGTTACTATCCTCCCACTGGGAAATTTTTTGTCTCTATGGATGTTACCTTTCGGGAACACGAGGCATTTTTTTCAAAAGAAGATTTGGCCACTTCTCTTCAGGGGGAGATATGGAGTAAGGAGGAAGATAAGTTGCCGCTTGACATTGGTGATATGCATTTTTCAGATGAACACTTGTCTGATGTCGGTGATGGTGCAAATTTGCCTAATGATGAGGCACAAGGTGAAAAAATATTGAAGGTGTATGAGAGGACAAGAAAAAAGGGAGATAAAGAAAAAAGGGATGATGAGATAGACCACCCACAGACAGATCCCCACATTGACCAACTCTCTGACCAATCAGCTGCTACTCGTACGAATTATCCTGAGGTAACCACTCATTCTCCCTCTCTTCAGCCTACTATATTTGATGAGTCCAATCATGAGATTTCATTAAGTGATGATCCAAATGATTCAAATGAACCACATCGTGAGTCTCAAGGTTCCCGTTATCCTATTCGAGAAAATCGAAGGATACCCCCTGTTCGTTATGGTCTTTCTTCTACAAAAGGTATTCAATATCCTATATCTAATTTTGTTTCATCTCATCGCTTGTCAGACTCTTATATATCTTTTGCAAACCAATTGTCATCAGTCTCAGTCCCTAATAAGTTACAAGATGCTCTTAAAGATCCAAAATGGAAAAAGGCTATGATTGAAGAGATGGAAGCGCTTCGAAAAAACTCCACTTGGGAACTGGTTGCACTTCCTGAAGGCAAGAAACCTGTTGGGTGTAGATGAGTGTTCACAGTAAAGCATAAAGCTGATGGTTAAGTGGAAAGGTACAAGGCTAGACTGGTAGCCAAAGGTTATACTCAAACCTATGACATTGATTATCAGGAGACATTTGCTCCGGTAGCAAAGATCAACACTATCAGGGTTCTTATGTCATTGGCAGCAAATCTAGGGTGGCCTCTACGACAGTTTGATGTAAAAAATGCATTTTTACATGGAGACTTGGATGAAGAGGTATACATGGATCTTCCTCCAGGATTCACTACCACTTGCGATATTGGCAAAGTATGCAGGTTAAGAAAGTCCTTGTATGGATTGAAACAATCACCAAGGGCATGGTTTGGTAGGTTCGCTCAATCAATGAGAAGTTATGGGTTCAAGCAAACTCAAGCTGACCATACCTTATTTCTTAAGCATGATAGAGGTAAACTTACAACCTTAATTGTTTATGTGGATGATATGGTGGTTACAGGTAATGATGTCGAGGAAATTCAAAAACTTCAAAAGTATCTAGCCAAGGAATTTGAAATGAAGGACTTGGGTACTCTAAAATATTTCTTGGGTATTGAAGTTGCAAGATCAAAGCATGGCATTTTTCTTTCTCAAAAGAAATATGTTATAGACTTATTAACTGAGACTGGGATGTTAGCTTGTAAACCTGCAGACACACCAATTGAGCAAAACCATAGATTGGGAGACTATCATGATCAAATTCCGGCTAACAAGGAAAGGTACCAAAGATTAGTTGGGAGGTTGATTTATTTGTCTCATACACGACCTGACATAGCCTATGTTGTAAGTGTAGTGAGTCAATTTATGCACAGGCCAAGTGAAGCCCACATGGATGCTGTACAACGCATTCTCAGGTATTTGAAGTCTGCCCCTGGAAAAGGCTTGCCCAAAACGACTATTATTGGTCATAGATTTCGATACGATTTTTATCCAATGTCATTGTGCCACGTGTCATTATCTTTTCAGAATCTTTAAGGATAAATTTCGATCAGATTTTAAATCGTTCTCGTTACGTCACGTATCATTATCTGAAAAGATAATTATTGATGATGGATTTCAATAAGATTTTTATTCAATGCCATCGTGCCACGTGTCGTTATCTTTTTAGAATCTTTTAGGATATATTTCAATCAGATTTTTAACGAATAACAGCATGCCACATGACACTGTCTACAACCTAATAACGAAAGGAAATTATATTATCTATATATATAATTTTTGCCCTTCAACATTTTTGTCCAGTTCCTTTTCTTTCCTGCTTTCTGCAGTGATTCCTTTTCACTGCTTTTGGTCCAATTTTTTTCCTATTTCTTTTGCTTCTCTTCTTCCGTAGCCGTTTGCTCTCTCCTCTCTTCGCCTCTGCTGGTCTCAAAGTGGATAGTTTTGTGTTGAGTTCTTCTAATCTTGCATCTCCAACTTTTTTATGCAACTGTATGGATTGTGTTCTGTTCAATTTTAGATGTTAGAAGCTTTTAATTTTTTTGGGTTCAATTTTAAATGGGTTGTTGCTTTCATAGTTTTCATTTGATGACAGAGATGGGATTTTTGGGGAGAAACTTTTAATCCGTGAGTTTTTTAGTTAGGTTGTGTTGTGGTTCTTGAGAAATGGATTTGTAAATGGATTTTCTATTGAAATTGTTTCTCTTCTCATTTTTTGTTTTTTTTGTGCCATCGGGTTTTGCATATGGGTGTATAATCAGGTTTTCTTTTGAATTTCAGGGGATTCAGGTTTTTATTTTTCTGGAACTTTTGTCTGCAGCTTTGGAAGACATTTGACACGCCTCGACCCTGATATTCCTCGAATACCAAGATAGACACGTGCTGGCCGACACCGGAGGGTGACGAAAGCCATTAATTGATACAAAAGCTAAGAATAAGAAATAAATAAGGGTTATGAATTTAAAAACAATGAGTTAATAATTTAGGAACGTGTTCAGAACATACAACTAAACCTAATCACTAAGAAGAATTAAGATAAAATTTAATGAATAAAGGAGTGAGTCTTACATCGAGAGGATCCGAAGATGCTGCGGAAGTGTCTTGACGCCGAGATTATGTGCCTTGATTCTAAGTCCTGAATAAGGGCGCAAAACAAAGGTGAGTGGACCCTTTCTAAAATTACATGATTTTATAGTAATTGCATAAATGATTAACATGCCTACGAAATTTGTGAATTGATTTATATCAATCATGTTTACTGAATTTATTGATTTCGTCTCGTGTTTTGGTGAGGAAATAATTGTTAGCCTATTTTGAGCTATATTTTTTTTATATATCGTATTTTCTATAAAAACCATGAATTGATAGACTATCCGATGGATGACGATAGGATGCTAGAAAATGTTTTGGAAACCCCTCTTTATAGTATAGACGATGGATGACTTTATACTATAAAGTGGTTATTTATTAGAGGCGTAACTATTTGTGCGTACCTAGTAGACACTATGCCGCCTGGGGCGAGGAACTGGTGTTGGCATTTAGGCCGGGAGAAATAATCCCTAGCTACGGGCTGAGGGACATGGAGCAGGTATTGGGCCGGGAGTTGGTAATCTCTAGCTACGGGAGCAGAGACCACGGAGCAAGCATTGAGCCGGGAGTTATATTTATTCAGTGATCTTTCTAGCAGCACACCGCGTTTACGAGACGATTTATGATACGTTTACTGTTTTGATTTCCGCGATGCGTTTCCGCGATATGGCTTTTGAGATATTTGGCATGCTAGGATTTTATTAAATCCATCACTTATTATGCTAGTAGTTTTCATTATTAAACTGTGGGGGTTAGTATCTTGATACCTGTTTTATTATTTATATATATGAACTTGGTCTACTCACCTTTGTTTTGCGCCCCCATTCAGGACTTAAAATCAAGGCACATAATCTCGGCGTCAAGACACTTCCGCAGCAGCATCTTCGGATCCTCTCGATGTAGGACTCACTCCTTTATTCATTAAATTTTATCTTAATTCTTCTTAGTGATTAGGTTTAGCTGTATGTTCTGAACACGTTCCTAAATTATTAACTCATTGTTTTTAAATTCATAACCCTTATTTATTTCTTATTCTTAGCTTTTGTATCAATTAATGGCTTTCGTCACCCTCGGGTGTCGGTCAGCACGTGTCTATCCTGGTATTCGAGAAATATCAGGGTCGGGGCGTGTCAACATTTGTGCTTAAGGTGAGAAACTTTGGTTGCTCGCTTTTGGGTTTTGTTGTAGAATTAATTTTTTTTTAAGAGTTACATTCGTGGGAATTCATCTGTTCTTCTTTTTTCCTGCATCTGAAAAATGCCACATGATGTAGTTTATAATTAAATAAGAATATCAAAATGGGTTTTCTGTGCAAATTTTCTTTTTCTGATTTTGTAGAACCGAAGAGGATGTTAACAACAACATTATTGTGTGATATGCGATCTAAAGTTCTTTGGTGAGTTATTTGGTTTTCTTGCCATGTAGGATTTTAATATATATTTTTTTCGTGGTTTATGCTCTGATGTGTTTGATTTTTGATTTCAGGAAAAGTTAAGGATACGATCAAACGTTTCCTGGTGAATTTTCTATTTTTCTGATTGTGTGTGATTTAATTTTTTTTCAAGTTTTGGGTGTACTTTTATGATCTGCTTTGATTTTTAGTTGCAGCAAAAGTTGTTGCTCGAATTTTCCAGTTTATATCTGCAGCTTTGCAAGCTCTTTATCAACAAGGTATATAATTTTTATTCTTTTTCCTGAATCTTTTGTTGGATGGAATCGTTTTTTTGTTTTTGGTGAGTTCTTCTAATCTCGCATCTGGTACTGTTTTTTTTTCCGACTGTATAGATTGTGTTTTGTTGAATTTGAAATGGTAGAAGCTTCTTGGGTTCAATTTAAATGGATTGTTATCAACTATTGAATTGCTTTCGAAGCTGTTTGGCTACTCCCTTAACGCCCTTTTTCCTTTTCTTTTCAGCTTCTTCGATTTGCAACCCCCTTTTTTTTTTTTTTTTCCTTTTCCAGATTTAGCTTTTTTCCCCTATATTGTATCTTTTGGCTAATTTTGTGGGTCTTGGTCAGTGCTGTGGGTATTGGTGAATTTCTAGCATGTTTATGCATGCAGTTTTTGCTAGAATGTATGGATTGTGTTTTGTTCAATTTTAAATGTCAGAAGCTTTTAATTTTTTTGGGTTCAATTTTAAATGGGTTGTTATCAACCATTGAATTTCTTTTGGAGTATTCATTTGATAAGAGAGATTTTGGGGGGGGGGGTCTTTTGGGTGAAACTTTTGATCCGTGAGATTTTTAGTTAGGTTGTGTTGTGGGTTTTTGCAAATTTCTATCGTGTTTATGCATGCATTTTTTTTCTTATAGATTTGGAAGAACATAGCATTACATGGTGTTGAGGGTTTGCTGGTGAGGGAAAGTAGCAGCGTTAAGATTTTGCAGGTGAGATATTAAGGTGAGAGAATAACGAGACAAAGAGCATCGAAGACACATTTGGGATTAGGGGTAGCAAAACAGGGGAAAAGAATATGACAGAAGAATGGAGTCTTAATTTTTTTCTTAACTGGTTTGGGATTTTGCTTGCCTTTGGGGTCATTGTTGGCGTCAAGCCATTTGGTGTCAAGTGGTTGTGAACACGGAAAATTTCTGAAACGAAAGAGACAAGAACAACGTGCACAAACAAATATTTGTATTTTTGATGGTTTTGGGTTACAATCTCTCTCTATTTTGATCATCTGATTCGATCTCCGTAAGGTGTCAATTTGTGGATGTGTGATTGATCCAAAGGGCCGTTGGGCTTGATCTAAGGATGAACGTTCTTCAAGGGCCGTGGACTTGATCTTGAAGGTGGATTTGAGCGAATCTTCAAAGGGGCTTTTGGGCTTGATCTTTGAAGAACAATGACGAACGGATCTCCAAGGGCTTTTGGGCTTGATCTTGAAGAACAAAGATGAACGGATCTTCAAGGGCTTTTGGGCTTTATCTTGAAGAACGGTTGGATGTGTGGATTTGTTGACGTTGTTGATCCAAAGGGCCGTTGTGGCTTGATCTTGGATGAACGGATGATGAACGATGGTGCTTTCTTCAAGGGCCGTCGGGGCTTGATCTTGAATTGGTGGATGGTTGATCCAAGGGCCTCGGGGCTTGATCTTGGAAGAACGATGAACGATGAACGAAGAACGAAGAACAAGCAGTGCTAGGTAGGCAATCAGGGAAGGGTTCCAAGCAGTCGGTTCCTTACTCGAGTTTGAGTGGAAGTTCCGGCATATTGTTTTCTTTATCCTTGTCTTTGTAGGTAGGAACAAGGACAAAGGAAAGAACAGGGAGAACACATGATATGAGATACTCTTGCTTTCTACCCTGGTGATATGAGATACTTTTGCTTTGGAGTCATTGGCTTGCAGAGGTACCCCAAGGAATAAGGAACATTGAATGACTCGAGAGGCTTCGTTGGGAAAGCATTTTTGGAGATGAAGAAATGCTCTGTATGTCTGCCTTGCTATGGAAGGTGAAGGTGGACAGTTATAGGAAATTCTTTGATACCTGTAGAGGTACTATTCTTTCACTCGTGTCGGCAACCGATGGGTGATTGAACAGTAAACTTCACGTGTTTTCTCCTTCACCGAAAATCTTCGACAAATTGCCCGTGATTTGCGCAAAGTTGAGTGTGCATATGACAGGTGTTGACGAGGCTGAAAAAGACTGGCGCCTCTTCGATATCTAGGGTCGGCGCTTCGACAAATTGCCCGTGATTTCTGCAAAGCTGAGTTTGCGTGTGACGGGTGCCGACGCGTCTGGAAAAGCAAGATGCTTCTCCGATTTCTGAGCTTGCCTCTTCGATTTTTGAATGGCCTCTTCAAATTCTGAGCTCGCCTCTTCGATCTCTGAAATCCCGTCGAGTGCTGATTTTTTTATAGAGGCATGCAGTTCGTTTCAAAGCACACTTGAATTTTCGCTTGTGAAAACTCCCCTCTTGTACTTCTATGATCTTGATTTGTCCGATCTCTTCTTCCTTCAACACTTTGAAAATGTCTGGACCCTTTGACCGTCGTTTTGACTTGAATCTTGGTGAAGAGGCAGTCCCGCCTTCTCCAGACAACATATGGCGCCCATCCTTCATATCCCATACTGGTCCTCTTACCGTTGGGGATTCGGTGGTGAAGAATGATATGACCGCTGCGGTGGTGGCCCGAAACCTTGTCACTCCCAGAGATAACAGACTACTTTCCAAACGGTCTGATGAGTTGGCTGTTAAGGATTCTCTGGCTCTTAGTGTGCAGTGTGCAGGTTCTGTGTCTAATATGGCTCAACGCCTATTTGCTCGAACCCGTCAAGTTGAATAATTGGCGGCTGAAGTGATGAGTCTCAAACAGGAGATTAGAGGGCTCAAGCAGGAGAATAAACAGTTGCATAAGCTCGCACATAGCTATGCGACAAACATGAAGAGGAAGATTGACCAGATGCAGGAATCTGATGGTCAGATTTTACTTGATCATCAGAGGTTTGTGGGTTTGTTCCAGCAGCATTTGCCTTCGTCTTCTGGGGCTGTACTGCGTAATGAAGCCTCAAATGATCAACCTTCGGTGCCTCCTCCTCCTGGGGTTCCGCCGAGTACTGAGGCGCCATCGGATCAATCTTGAAGATCCCCTCCTGTAAATTTGATTTGTCTTTTTTTTTTCTTTTTTTTAATTTTATGACACGTGGAATGCGAATTTATGTAAAATTTCCAAAAAAAATAAATAAAATGGACTTTTATTTCTCTTAATGCTTTTTTTTTGCACATGGTGCCAGATGCACCATCCATTTTTTTATATTTTCCTTTCTTTTCCTTTTTTTTTTTGCACATGGTGCCAGAGCACCAAACATCAAACATTTTTTTTCTTTTTTTTTATTTATTTATTTTTCTTTAATCATGGTGCCAGACGCACCAGAGATAAAACATTTTTTAATTTTAAATTTAAATTTAAATTTTTTAATTTTTAATTTTATTTTTTAAATTATATATATATATATTGCCTTTAATCATGGCGCACCCCACTTTTTCACGTGGTGCCAGACGCACCAAAGATCAAACTCTTTTTTTTTTTTTTTTTTTGGCCTTTAATCATGGTGCCAGATGCACCTTTTTTTTTTTCACGTGGTGCCATCACCACTTTGCTCCACCATCCCCTTTTTTTTTTTAATATATTTTTTCTGTATAAATTTGGGTGGTGGGTAGAGGAATTTGCAGGGAGCGGAGCTCGAGTTTGAGGAAGAGCTTCTCGGCCGGCTAGTCGTTTGACATCGGTCTTTGAAGTTGTTGGCAGCTGCGAGGCAAGAGACGGAGGAGGTGGAGGTGACCTTGATGTCGGATCCAGCTAGAATCCAGAGCACAGCCACTGAGCCCAACCACTGAGCACAGCCGCTGCACACCCGTTGTACTGCCATCGAGCACCGCCACTGCGCATCCGTTGCACTGCCAATTGCTGCAAAGGATTATGTTTAACGGCGGAGACGCTGCCCTATTTGCCATGCTATGCCGACGTGCTTCTGGATGGCACATAAAGCACAAACCCAGCAATATGGCATGGATTTCGATGCTTTCCATTTTGCAAGTATGCATCACACAATTAACCATCCAGAATTGTTAAACATTCCATCTGGGTTTATCACAAAACAAAAGAAAAAAACAAGATCCATCCATGCCAAACACCAATATGCCATCTTTTAGGGATCTGTCACGACATCATCTGTGGAAGCAAATCAAAATCCAAAATTCCCAAATGTCATAGGGATCACTATCATCCCATTCATCAGAGAAAGGGAGAAACTTGAATGCAGGATTCGATGGTTTTTTTGGAAAAACGAGTGGAGAAACGAACCAGCCAAAACCTGCTTGGTCCGCTCGCAGATTGGGGGAGAGGAAGAGTTGGCGGAATTGCTGTAACACTGGAAAACGGAGGACGTTGACGAGTCCTCCAAGTTGTTCTTGACGTTGGTGCTGGAGAAACCTGCCTCTCTCATGACTCTGCTGACGGCGCTGCTACAAAAGGAGCAAGAGCAGCTGGTCCTAGGTCGACTTGTGGCCTGTGGTGGGCTTGTTGGCAAGGGAAATGGTGATTTGAGGGGTGTACAGACTAAGAGAGAACTGAATCGAATACAAGTAAGCTAGGGTTTCGACAAAATCAACCGATTTGAGGGATGGTTCGATTTGGGGCTTAAGGAGATCGGACATCGGCAGACCGTATGGGAGGAGAGTCTCAAGCAAAACATTGTTGACGGTGGGGTTCGGAGCCTGAAAACTGCCCCGACTCTCTCGGCAAAAGCCTTAGCATCCTCAACAGAAACAGCACGCAGGTGACGCAGGTCAGCTTTGTTACCCACGAGCATTATCACAATGATGGAGTCTGTGTGATCCCGTAGCTCCTTCAACCATCTCTCAACATTCTCAAATGTCACATGCCGGGTGACGTCATAGACAAGCAAAGCGCCAACAGCTCCTCGGTAGTATGCACTTGTAATTGCACGGTACCTTTCTTGGCCAGCGGTATCCCAAATCTGGGCCTTGACGATATTCTCATCAACGTGGATACTCCGAGTGGCGAACTCGACGCCGATCGTCGACTTCGACTCGAGGCTGAACTCGTTGCGCGTGAATCTCGACAAAAGGTTGGATTTTCCGACGCCGGAGTCACCAATCAACACCACCTTGAACAGATAATCATAGTCATCATCTGCCTTGCACGCCATGGCTGCCCTCCTCCCTCACAAATCCAAATTCGACTCGGCGGTTGGGTTTGGTTGGGTTCTGGTTTCCGGGTCGGATCCGAATTAGGTCGCCGGATTTATTCAATTGGAAGAGCGACTCGGACTCGGAGGCATGGAACGAAGGGAGGGAGGATTGTGTGAAAACGGAAGGACGGCAAATTTGAGATTTTCTGCTCTGAGAGCCGAGCCTGAGCTTGTTGGGCTCACAGTTTGGGTCTGAGGAGACGGGCCTGATTTTGTGGCTGGGCTCAGACATGTATATATATATATATATATATTTTTTTTTTTTTTAGATAACATATGTGTTTTTTTTTTCTTTTCAAAGAAACTGTAATTTAATTTTGTACAAAGAAAACTGCAAGTAATTTTGTAATAAAATTGACCTTCACCAATGAAACTTTAATCAAATCCCTTTTTTTTATGTGACTGAACTCGAAATCGAATGCTCGAGCTGCCTACGTACCCTTCCAAAGTCAAAACGTAGTTCAAAAACATACATATTTTTGGTATTTTCTTTTTGTGTCGTTTGCAGTTTTAACTCATGCAGGCAAGGAGTGTTGGTGTCGTTTGCAGTTTCAACTCGTGCAGGCAAGGAGCATTTGGTGCCGTGTTGCAGTTTCAGCTCGTGCAGGCAAGGAGCGTTGGTGTTGCCTTTTATGCTGGTGCAGACCAGGAGCGTTATGTCATGCAGTTTAGGCTCGTGTAGGCGAGGAGCCTTGTGTCTTGCAGTTTAGGCTTTTACAGACAAGGAGCTTTTGTGTTGCCTTTTATGCTCATGCAGACCAGGATATTTGGTTCGTGCAGTTTTAGGCTCGTGCGAACAAGGAGCATTGGTTTGTCAAGCGATCTGAGAGAGTCGTTCCTCGCAATCTTCATAGCAAGGAGCCTTGACTGAGTAGTTGAAGAAGTCTTCAGGAAAGAAATCACGCATCGTGATGGGGATGGACGATCTATGTGTCGAAATTTCATCATCTTCAACACGTTCACGTTGCTTTGAAGGTTGACAAGAGCTGTTTTGCCCCCTTTCCGATTGGCGGATTTGTGGAGGAGGCGTATGCTTCTTGTGCAATTTCTTAGGAGTGACTTGAGTCCATCCTTCAACTTTGCTTGTCTTGGAGGATGCCCCCAGCGGTTGAAGTGAAAACTTTAAGTCGGAAGAGCCAAAAGTGAAGGTGGTATAGTTTGACTCCACCACATCGTCAAGATCTAGCTCGATGATTCCTTTCTGAGCCAGCTTCATGATGAGATCTTTCAGCACGAAACACTTTTCTGTCGGATGACTGATGAAGCGGTGGAATTTACAGTATCTTGGACTGTCAGTACGATTCATCTATTCCGGCCGTCTGCACTCAGGCAAACTGATCACCTTCTTGTCCAACATGTCATCTAGCATGGCAACCACATCAAAGTCGGGAAATGGATAAGTCTTCTCTTCAAGCTCCTTCAAAGTGCGTCTACGTGTCTTTTGATCACGAAAAGCTTCGATTTAAATCGCCTTGCCTCGCGTGGATATTTTGACGGGAGATGTGTTGACCGTCATCGTTTCCTTAGTGGGTTTCCATGCAGCCTTTTCCACCTTTATCCCAAGAACTTTGTCATTCTTGTAGTCGGCGATCGGTTCTTTCTTCCCATGATGGGCGATGCTCAACTCCATGTCATGGGCGCGAGTGGCCAATTCCTCGAAGGTCCGCGGTTTAATGCCTTGAAGGATGTATTGCAAACCCCATTGCATGCCTTGGATGCACATCTCGATTGAAGAGGTTTCCGAGAGACTGTCTTTACAGTCGAGGCTTAGAGTGCGCCATCTGTTGATGTAGTCAATGACTGGCTCGTCCTTCCACTGCTTTGTGCTCGTTAGCTCTAGCATGCTCACAGTACGGCGGGTGCTATAGAAGCGGTTGAGGAATTCCCGCTCTAATTGCTCCCATCTGTTATAGGTCCGTGTACCACTCAAAGGCATTTCCTTTCAACGAGCGCACAAACTGCTTGGCGAGGTAGTCTCCCTCCGTCCCCGCGTTGTTGCAAGTTTCGACGAAATGTGCAACGTGCTGCTTTGGGTTTCGAGTAAAATAAGGAGGTATGTGAGCTCCCTTCGTACTGTGCCTTGATGGTGTTGGTGATCATTTCCTGTAGCTGCTGGATAGAAAGAGATCCCATGAGTGCCGCTGCTTGGTCTGGCTCCGGCTTCACATGGTTTTTCTACACCTGAGGCTTCTCTTCTTCGTCGTCTCTTCTCTTTAGTGGATCATTCTCTAGGTTAGGGTTATCGCCGTCCTGTGGCTGCAGTCGGCTGACGAGTGCAGCAATTTGCAAGTCTTTTTCTTCCACAATCTGTGTTAGCCTTGCAATCGCTTCATTCATTTGAGCCAGTTGTTCTTCAACGGAGGTAACGCCGATAGTCATAACTTGTGCGACCAATAGACGTGACTTTCCTTTAAACATTCAAGATGCTGACGAAGAACATCGTTGGCTGCTTTGGGACGTCATCTTGTGTGCCTCAACATCATGCTTCGGTGCCCCCAGCGAGGTCAGGTTGATGACAGACTCACACCTTGGATGCTCCCCTTGCTCTTTTAGCGGCACTAATTTTGAAGTGGCATGTTGAGGAGCGGTTGTGGCGCCAATGGATTGTCCGTTTGCGGCAGAAGTGTTTAGGATCCTTCCCTCAGTGGTTGCAAGAACAGCTTGTCCCTCGCTTGATGCCATTGACTTTGAGGTGTGCTTGGATTCCTTAAACGGAGAAAGAGATGAGAGGCAGAGATTATCCCACCGGGCGTGCCAATTTATGAACACGAAAAATTCCTGAAACGAAAGAGACAAGAACAACGTGCACAAACAAATATTTGTATTTTTGATGGTTTTGGGTTACAATCTCTCTCTATTTTGATCATCTGATTCGATCTCCGTAAGGTGTCAATTTGTGGATGTGTGATTGATCCAAAGGACCGTTGGGCTTGATCTAAGGATGAACGTTCTTCAAGGGCCGTGGACTTGATCTTGAAGGTGGATTTGAGCGGATCTTCAAAGGGGCTTTTGGGCTTGATCTTTGAAGAACAATGACGAACGGATCTCCAAGGGCTTTTGGGCTTGATCTTGAAGAACAAAGATGAACGGATCTTCAAGGGCTTTTGGGCTTTATCTTGAAGAACGGTTGGATGTGTGGATTTGTTGACGTTGTTGATCCAAAGGGCCGTTGGGGCTTGATCTTGGATGAACGGATGATGAACGATGGTGCTTTCTTCAAGGGCCGTCGGGGCTTGATCTTGAATTGGTGGATGGTTGATCCAAGGGCCGTCGGGGCTTGATCTTGGAAGAACGATGAACGAAGAACGAAGAACACTTTCTTCAAGGGCTGTCGGGGCTTGATCTTGAATTGGTGGATGATTGTTGATCTAAAGGGCCGTTGGGGCTTGATCTTGGAAGAACGATGAACGAAGAACACTTTCTTCAAGGGCTGTCGGGGCTTGATCTTGGAAGAATGATGAACGAAGAACGAAGAAGGCTTTCTTGATTCTTCGGGAACCTGGATGCTTGAGAGCTTCGGAGTTTCAGAGCTTCAGAGCTTCAAGGTGTAATATCAATTGGTTCCCCCCCTAAATGAATGAAATGGGCTTGTATTTATAGAATTTTCCAAGGCCTAATTTTGAATATAATATTCCAAATGAAATAAGTCGTTTCTGCCAGGTGTTGACACGTGTCATGTTTGATGACTTTTCCAACTTATTTCGATTTTTTGTTTAGACACACGCTACGTGTTAAATTTATGTAATACATGAGCATTGAAACTTTGATTTATTGGTCAACATTTATTTACCGAAATTTCGATGTCTATAGTGGTGTCTGTTTTTTCATAACTTTTATTACTAATTTTTATGTTGTTTGCCATTTTGTGTCTTGGGATTTCTGAATTTTATCGTTCATTGTCGGTTTTTAAATTTTTTTTGTCTTCATTTGTTTGTTTAATATGTTGTGTTTGTGCTGGGACGACGTTTTGCAAGTTTTCTTTCCATTGGGGCTGCTACATTTTTTAAGTGATGCGGGTGAGGTTTAGATACTCAAAACACTCCATTTTTTTTTTTTACAAATATGCGCGTTTGGTTCTCTTCGGTTTTAAATGTTTAAAATTAAACGGTTATTTTGATAAAATGGTTTATTAGTTTTTCTTACGTGTTGTGAGCAGGAATTCAATTGGATTGGGTAAAATGCTTTATCAATTTACGTTATAGGGATTTTGTGTAGTATGGTCTGTGAGTTTTATTGCTCATGGTTTGTTCTTTTTTCTTTGTTTGCCGGTTTCTTTTGCAAAGGATCGCTATAGTTTGGGCATCTTTTCGAGTTTTAAATCGCATAAGGGTAAGATTTAGATAATAAAATTCGAAACGAGACGTTACTTTTCTTTTCGGAAACTAATTTAAAAGCTCTGCATGGATAGTTAACTGTGTTGAAATGTCTTGATAAAACCTGAACCTTTTGTTATATGTGAATGTTCGTTCCTTACTACAAATATAATAGGCATAGTGGTCTAAAAAATTAAAATCCACTGACACGACATCAGAAATTCGAACCAATTTCTATTGTTACCATTACCTTCTTTCATTCAGATCATCAGCATGTAGTTCAAATTTAGATCAAACCTAGATGAAATTCAAGTGACAAGATTTATTGTCATTGTTTCAATAATTTACATTGTTTTAGTACCCAGGTTTATAGCATGAGCTGAAGATCCAAGATCATTTTGGCAGAGACTTTGATATTGAAGACCCTAATTTTGCTCCTTATTTTGTACTTTAAGGTCCAACTTTTTACATGTTTTATACACTTATAACACCTGCAGCAATGCGCGGGCACTATGACTAGTAAGGCCTTAAATTCTAAAATATGATTCTTCATCGGGATTCAATATTAGAATTTTGAATGACAACATATCACACACATCTTTAGAACGCCAACAAGACTAAATTGAATGGATCTTAACTGTTTTATACATTGTAGAAAGACTCGGATCCTCACTTGGTACGAGCTGGAACAGCCTTCGATTTCTTTTCACGTTCAACAGCTTTCTTGACCGTATTATGCTCTTCCTTGTTATCTAGGTGAATGCTCACTGCCTTTCCTTTCGACAGACAAGCCTCTTTCAGAAGTTTCGCAGCCTTGACATCATCTTCCATCTTCGCATAAAGTGGATTGTCATGGTTGAAAGTTTGAGCAATGTTCTCCATGACCTTGGCCTCTCTACGCTTCACTTCTACTGAACGCTGGGAATTAGGCATTTTCTACATTTTGTAGGCACGATACCAATTTTTGATGCGTTTCCATTCAGTAAGAACACCATCCATCAACTTTCTGATCTTGCCCATGTGATCTTGCATGCAATTACATGAAAGGATGTAAGTCGATCAATC